CCGTAAAAATAATCAACGAATATAGTCCCGCGTGGCAATTAACATCAAGGCGACGTTGATTAAGTATAAATACATAAAATGTCTTAGATTTAATGAAAGAAAAAAAGTTATTTTAAAATTTAGTTTATTTGGTCTAATAGTAGTTATCAGTTTATCCAGTGGAGTTTTCTCTCCTGAGATCCATCCTGAATAGAGAAGAATTAATATTTAGGAATAGTCATTTGGTAGTAAGATGGTAGTAATATGTAGTAACTAACCAACTAGTAAAAGAGTTACTAAACACAGGATTGTGTTACTTTTGCATAACGGCAACTGGCTCTACTGGACCATCTGCCTCGTGAAGAGGGCCCTGTCTGAATGCCGCAAGTCAACTGTCCCTTCAGACAGCAAATTATTAGCCAAGATGCTCAAATCACAGGGCTGATGTTCAAGCAGCCTCCACTGCTTTAAAGAAAGGCGGTTTCCATCATGCCAAGGGCAAGACAGGAATGGAGGATGATGTGGAGCTTGGAGCTCAAATGAAACATGTCTGATGAAGATTCCATCATCAATGACCACAGTAAATGACAAAAAAATTGGGAGTGGATGTGAACCCAACCCATGGGTTAACAACTTGTATATAGGTCCGTACAGTTCATTGCTCCCAAGCAAGAATATGTTCGAAAGCTTAACAAATCAAACCCAAGCCAAGAGTCAAGGGTTACTGAACTCTTAGTATGTTTGCATCCTGATTATCCAACAGACTCAACCCTAAAGAATATTGAGCCCTTCCTTATCTTGTTTATCTCAAGTCGGTACATATAGCCAAAGCAGAGCTAGGGAGGGATCCATGCTGGAGAAAGGAGTGTATCAGGACTCTATGGCCAAGTTAGAATAGAGTTTCATTGCCACAGACCAATCCAGTTCTCATCAAGTACTGAATCAAAATGGTGGAATGGAAATATATTTGCCACAGCTGTGAATGTCTTGTTCTTTAGATAAATCTTAGATGATCCAACACTAACTGTTTGTATTGTTAAAATGAATATATTGCTTGTGCAAAAAATATGTTTTGTTATACCACACAATCTTTGCTTTTTACTACCAGTCATTTTTCAAACCTATAATAATGTTACAGGCACTTCTTTTTAAACCAGGTGGCAGGTTATTCCATATCTTAAGAAGTGCATATGTTGCTTGATTGAAATCAGTCAAATCATTTGTCAACTTAAGGATCTTATACTTAAAGAAAAGAAGATTTGTATGTGAAGCTTTTTTTGCGTTATTAATAATTCTAACTGCATGTGCATGGAGCAAGCTAATTTTTTTCATTTCAGGACTTTTATTTCTCTTCCAGGCTGCAATTCCATATTCTACAAAAGAGCAAAATAAGGAGTTATAAACAAAGAGAATGTAATATAAATAGTATTGTAAAAACAAATTCAAACTATAAGGAAGATGATCCTTGGTGAACCTTGTGTTCTACAATTGACCGCATAATATTCTCAACACAGAAATCCCTTTCCGGTTCATCAATGTGGGATTAGCGTTACTACTCTCCCCTCCCCTCTCCGCCTACGGAGAGGGGTATTGGCAGCTAGTTAGAGTATATCTTTCGGAATGCTAACATCTCTGGCCTGCCTGACTCCTTCATGGAGCTACAGATATCTAACCTTTCACTGAATGCTAAACATCTAAGCCAACAATGTTCCAAAACTTATTGTGAAACCTAAAAGCTGGCGAAGTCCTCATGCTAGCACCAATGATACAAAGCTTGTCATGCCCTGAGCTGACAGAGTCCTTAACCCCAGCACCAATGATAAAACTGCGATCTTCCCCCCTGGGACTGAAGCCTAGATGTAGCTAACCTGCTGTCAAGATATTCTAAAATATGATAAAATTTAAAAGCAACTGCTCATTACAAATAATATTCCGAGAGACGGTTTTCAATTTATTTTACTTTATACAAACATTTATGAGAGAAAAATACTATACGATCGATATGTAAATAAGAGGCAGTATTGGGTTGAAAAATGATCTGATTAGTCTTCCACCTCACATCGAAAGGGTTCGTGGCAAACTAACTCTGATAGCATTTGTTAGACCTGCCATCCCCCCGCCAGGGTTCTATCCCTAGCACCCTGACATGGCGGGTCAATACCCCTGGCACTATGCTACCCTGAGATAAGGGATAGCGTCGCTTCGTCTATTTATAACTTTGGCTTCGCTCGGTCTTAAAATAACTGCAAACTCCGCCTTATTTCAACTGTCATTGATATTTACACTCTAGGTTTATATTTCTATCAGTAGAGGATCATTATAAAAAATGATTGCAACGATCTAAAAACCCCTTGAACTGCTGATCGTAAAAGATCAACAATTATCATAACATCATTACAATATTTCTGAACTGCTTACCACCAACATGAAGCTCCAACTGTTCCCTATAATCTTGATCACCCCTATCCATCAATTGTACCTTTTTATTTTACAACCACTTAAGATAATCCCCCTACAGAAAACTATTTCAAAAATTTTATATTTCAAATAATTCAATAAAGTTATCTAATAACCATTATTTCTTTTATTTAACTGACTTTTATGTCAACAAGTATGCTTAATGTTAATACTTGGAAGTAGATTTCTTACATTTGATAATGCAAACACTGCATTATATGCTTTGTTTTCACAGCTTTAAGATGCTGATTCCAGGTTAGGTTTTCATCAAGAAGTATTCCCAAAAGCTTAAATGATTAATTTTTAAACCAGCACCTATTCTATCCATTTCCTTATTTTCAAGGAAAAGTTTAATTTTTGAGAGCTCAAAATTTGTAAAATCATATAGACTTTTTAAATTTTCCGAAGAATATTGTAATGTTGTGTCATCAGCAAAAAGTATAGTAAACAATTTTGATGCGTTTGAAAGGTTATTTATAAGAATTAAGAATAAAATTGGGCTTAATATTGACCCCTGAGGAACTCCACAAAGTATATCTTCAAGAGAGGAATTTACACCCTTGATTGAAGATATCTACTTTCTTCCCTATATATAATTTTCAAACCACTGATTGGATATTCCTCTAAACCCATAATGATCTAACTTTTTGAGTATACTACTCAAAAAATCAAATTGTCACATTCTGAATTCCCTCCCCCCTGATTTCTTCATGAAAAATGTTAAACCTCTAAAGTCGAGGAGGAAACAAGCCTGTAGTGCAGCAACACACAAATTTTGATTTGTGAACTTTACCTTATATTTATACTGTGTCTGCCATTTATCGTCAGTCAAACTTGATATTTTGATACAGAAGTATTATTGTTATTAACTGCTTACGGCACATTAAGGTATTAATTAGGCATTAATACCATAGAGAATAGAATAAATATTAGAGGGGAATTTAGAGAATCATTAATTAAATTAAATTAATTAAATGTTAATTAAACTTTATAATGAATTAGATGAATAAAAACATCATTTGATTTATTTATTCATACGAAAAATCATTGTTTGTAAAGTGAAAGGCATAGAGTCTATGTGAAATGATCATTGGTCAATTATGAAACCAGCCTATTTCATAATTTGGTTTTCTTTTAACACTAATTTTTAATTTTCTATAAAATGATATTCCAGGGCCCAAAAGGTTATATAGCATAAATATGTGAAGTACACCTGCAGTATGGAAACGGTACAACAAAATGGCCGTTTTACACTTTTTTTAGTAAATTCCCCTCTAATATATATTCTATTCTTTTTGATTAATACATTCTTTTATATTAGAAATGAGCTTTATCCTTGTATCTTTTACAGATTGAACCCGTTTGGTACTAATACTATTCAGAGCACAGTTATTTCGCGGAAGAGAGACAAACAGAAGTAGAGTTTTCATCCAAGAGATCTGAGATTTAGTGCAGGTTCCAATCTAACCCAATAGCAGATTATGACATGCTTGATATTCTAGGATGTTTTAATCGGCCGGATTTGGTCATGAAACAAGTATATCTTTATCACAGGTGTCAAAAGCTTTAGTTAAATCAATAAAAATTTCTAGGGTGTACTCAGATTCCGGTTTATTGCACACTTGGTAAATATGATCCAGAAAATGTAGTGTAGTATTATGCTTAGCCCTGAACCCATACTGGTGCTCAAAAAGATATTTAACTTATTCAGATATTTTATGATTTGATTTCCCGCATTTCTAAAAGTTTTCAAAAAGACGAAAGTAAGCTAATTGGTCTGTAATTTGTAAATTTTTCAGATTCTCCAGATTTGAAGGCTGGAACGATTTTAGCAATTTTAAGGATGGTTGGAATAATACCAGCTTTAAACAACAAATTAAATAAATGGCAGATAGGACCCATGATACTTGGCATTATCAACTTGATCAGGTTTGTAGAAATGTTATCTGAACCAGAGCTGTTTTTATTTTTTAATTTGTTAATAGCATCATTAATGATATCAGGGGTCATATTTGCAAAAACAAAGTTTTCACAGTTTTCTCTGAGAGAAAATCAGAGAATTGTTTTGTGGAGTTCTCGATATTATTTGCTAATTTGGACCTATACCAGAGGAAAACGTATTGAAACAAGTTCAGATATTTCAGCTGCCTCTGAAAGAACTATATACCATTGTTCTCAAAAGTATCCGGGATATTTATAGATTTCCGCCCCTTCCTAAAACACTAATTATTGTTTGCTAGGGTTTTTTTACCATCTTTTCTATGTTCTTTAAACTTGTCATACTAATGATTTTTCCCTAGTTGGGTATAAACTGTATTGTACTCTTTAAATCTCAGTTTCAGGACGGGGTTTAGTTTATTTTTTATTAAGAATCTGTTTTTATTTTTTCTGGAGATAATCAAGGCTTCTGACATCCAATTGGACTGTATGGTTTAGTCTTATTTGCAGAAGTTATTTCTTTTCAGGAAATGCAGATTTAATTTAAAACAGTTTTCTATAGTTTCAAAATAGATGTTAAGTTTCTTGTTCATTGTTGAGAAGAATGTCCCAGTTTACATTTTCCAGCATTGTTTTAAACCTTGAAATAGAAGGAGCATCAAATTTTCAAAATCTTTTTACATGATTAACTTTCGCAGACTTTTGCAGAATGACGAATATAAAAAACAGGGAAATGACCAGAAATATCTGAAAGGATGATTCCTGAATCATAAGCATCATTAGCAATTTTTGTAACAATATGATCTAGCAGCGCACCTGAGGATCCAGCTATCCTGTTGGAACAGTTTTAAGTGGTAAAAAAAAAATTTCAAGAAGCGTACATTGATTGAACAATAATAATATTTATTTACTTGTACTGCAATTTGAACCAACAGGGCTAATCAAATCTTCAAAGTATTCTGTCTGTCTAGACTCCTTCAAGTGTCCATCCCATAATTAGAAGTTTACGCAAAACATCTAAAGTTTCCACCACAAAACATCAGAAGTTTTTACGTAAAAATATCGTCAGAGATTTTAACCAGAAAACCAACAAAAGTTATAACATGAATTCTGTTCTAATTTCTTGATTCAAAAGTTTCCTCCACGTTTCCTAATCAATCTAAACATGTAAATATTAGAGAAAAACATTTAAAGGATTATTTTAGATTTTAGGCCAGGTTAAACATTATTGTAAATATAATTGGGCTATTCTGCTAGGACAAATTATTTAGTAAATTAAAGTTTGAGGCATGTTGCTTCTAAAGTAAAAGCTATGAAACTGGAGGTAAACCTCAAAGATGAAATATAAGATGTTGGTAATTTAATTATACCTGAAACTTTTCGTCCTGAATTCATCAGCTACGTCTTCCTCACCAACCTCATTGTTTTCCATCATCAGAGGTCCACTAAATATAAGAAAACATACAAAATTTTTTTTATATTTTTAACTGGTATAAATATTAAAACTTTACCTGATTGAGAATTCAATGCCAAGCTCATTAGAGGATAGAGATCGAAGGTTACGGTGATGTGTCATTTCTTGGATGCTTTGAAATGATCTGAGTGACCGAGGATCAATCATTGTAAAGGGAAAATATTTCATTTTAGCATCATTTGTCTGTTTTATCTTTGTTGTTTTTTGTCCCATCCTGGTTCCATAGGTCTCCAGTGCAGAAATCTGAGATGTTTCCTGTTCACCATTTTCCCTGTGTTCTTCTTGACTTTGGTGTAATTGGTTTCTTATCTGGATATTAACATTTTCTTGCGCCAGAAGTGGATGAATGAAGAGAGAGTCTGACTGAATAACTTAAAAAATCTTACTATAATCCCTTCATTGGTTGCTAGACTGTTCTGTGGAATAAATAAAATAAGGATTTGTTTAACAGAAATAACTTAATTTTAACACTAGTACATAGTTATGTAATAGTAACATTTGGACCTACCCCAATAAAAAACCAGAAAACAGACCAGCTCTTTGAACATTCCTAAAAAAATGTTACAATTGAAATTATCTTTAAAACATAAAATTTTTATAAAGGAATCAATACAATGTTTCTCTAATCTTAAAAGGTTCGAGTAAAATCCAGGGTCTGGAGTAAAATTTAGAGAGTTAAAAAAAATCATGCGTTGTCGAAGTTAAGACACAGCTCAGTTTCAGAACTAGCCGTTTTAAACCATTTTAATTCACTATTTGGTATTTTCTCTAAACTCATTTTTCTTTTTTTCATTATTTAAGTTTTATTATTTTCTGAAAGGAATTGAGTCTTTGTAACAAACTCTGATTTTCCAATCCCTATATGTTTTCCACCTGATGGCGTATTTGAAACTTGGACATTTTCATCTAACATAATTCATAGTTTGAAATATTTAAGGTCTACGGAATTGGATTACAAAGATATAGAGATTAGAAAATCATAGTTTGTGACAAAGACTCAATTCCTTTGTCCGCGGCGATCCACATTGAATTTATGGTGTTAAGATCAGAATGAAAAATGTTCATCTAGAAATTATAAACATTTGTGATATTCATAGAATACGAAATAAAATTTCGTTGGCCGAGTATTTTCAGATTCAGACTATTTTTTGTTTCAACATCGACAACACATACATGGTTTATATATTTTATACACTAAAATTTTACTCCAACCCCTTAAAATCAGTCACACCTCACTTCTACGCTAAATAAATAACTAAGGAACTGAGTCTTTGCCACAAAATCAAATAGTCTAATCCCTTTACCTTTGCCACCCGATGGAGGAAACCTTTATTATATCAAACTTATGTTATTTGCTCTATATGTCAGAATAGTTTAAAATATCTAAAATCTATGTCATTAGGTTCCAAAGATATGGGAGTAGAAAATCAGAGTTAGTGGCAAAGAATCAATTCCTTTACATCTGTGTTGTGAAAGGATACACTTCATCTAGATAGTCATTTCAGTGATAAGCCATTTCATAGACAGGACCTTTAATAGACAGGACTTTTCATAACCAGGACATATCATAGACAAGATATTTTAAAGACAGGGAATATTTTACGTAAATGATAATAATTAAATAAAATTGTTACACATCTTATATTAACCCAAAACCTTAAATTCTCCTCGAAAAAAAATGCTTTTCTGTATATGAAATGACGTATCTATAAAAGTTCTTCTCTGAATCTATGAAACTACCTGTCTAAGAAAAGTTATATCTATGAAGTACAGAATAGTGTATTAAAAAAGAAAATTGAAGAGCTCACAATATAAAGCTTTGTAGTTAGGACTGGAAATTGAATATAGAGCTTATTTTTACAACAGTATTCGTGAGTACAGAATAACTCTATATAACTTTTGGAGTAAATTAATTGATATTGGGAAAACCACTGCACAGGAACAGGACAGTCACTGTAAAATAAGCTTTCGGTGCGTACTACAGTAATTCTGCAGTACACTCCCCGAAGAAATTGCAAGTTTTAGTGGAGGGTGTAGTGGGCAGAAGTAAATATACAGAGCCCGAAATTTAAAAGAGTATCGTTGGATAAAACTCCCGAGTTTCCTTTTTGGGTTTTAACATTTGTGTAGATTTTGATTTAAGAGATTCGAAAAAATTGAGAATATAAACAAACTGAATAAAATAATATTTCATAACAAAGACATTGATATTTACAAAACTGCTTAACCCCATTCGTGAAACCCGGGTTTTAAAACTGGTTTTCAGATCGTTACCATGTCTTAAGTTTTAGGCTCAAGTACGGAAGGATTTAAAGGAGTACAAGATAAAGTAAAAGAGTACATGATGGTTTAAAGGAGTACCTAATAGTGTATAAAGGAGTACATCATAGCGTAAAGGAGTACATAATAGTGTAAAGGAGTACATAATAGTGTAAAGGAGTACATAAGAGTGTAAAGGAGTACATAAAGGAGTACATAATAGTGTAAAGGAGTACTTAATAGTGTAAAGGAGTACTTAATAGTGTAAAGGAGTACATAAGAGTGTAAAGGAGTACATAATAGCGTAAAGGAGTACATAATAGTGTAAAGGAGTACATAAGAGTGTAAAGGAGTACATTATAGAGTGTAAAGGAGTACATAAGAGTGTAAAGGAGTACATAATAGCGTAAAGGAGTACATAATAGTGTAAAGGAGTACATAAAAGTGTAAAGGAGTACATAATAGTGTAAAGAGTACATAAGAGTGTAAAGGAGTATATAATAGTGTAAAGGAGTACATAGCGTACGGGATGGTGTACAGGAGTACGGGATAGTGTAAAGGAGTAAAGGGTCCGAATTTAACGAATTTAAGCCGCCTCTTAAATCCCCCAAAAACCGGTTTAAATCGAGCGCCGGCACCAACCATATTTGAGCCGTGGCTCAAACCCTTTAAATTCGGCCTCAGGATGAAGTAAAAGAGTACATCCATGGTTTAAAGGAGTACGTTAATGTGTAAAGGACTACATTATAGTGTAAAGAAGTAAATAATAGTATAAAGGAGTACATATAAGTTTAAAGCAGTACGGAAAAGTGTACATGAATATGGGATAGTGTAAAGGGGATAAAGAAATTTTTGGTTCCGTCAATCTTGCGACTTGAACCCCACCTCCTCAGTCGTTAAATTAAATTATTTTTTTATCCTACCTTACTTCAACCACCCTTCCCGACCAAGAACTGTGATGAAGTGAACTTATCTAAAAAAATCGTTAGTAAAATAAGCTTAAATACATGGTTTAAACATCAATAACATGAATAATTGGTTCCGAGTAAAAGAAACTCGTTAAATATATTCATACTAAATAGTCATTTCTACGTCGAAACATTAGATATGTTTAAATTGTTTATAAATTATACGATACGATAACTTTATTGGATTCAAATCGTTGAGGCTTTAATAGGTCTCATATCTGTAATTTATTTTAAAAGGTTCCTTAGTTTAGTTTCTCAGAACTTACTTGATTTATCACATTCTGGGCCGGAGGTTGATCAGCTCTCAGGGACGGTTTGACATAAAGGTGAGCGATAAAAGTTACAAATCTTTGCATTTGATGGAGATGTTATGCACCAGACGATTGTCTATAAGTGGTTTAAGAGGATGAAAGGGACGAGTGGGATACATATATTTTGTATCTAAATTAGACCCCCGCCTAATGTGCCCCGCAAACCACCGACCTTAAATCTAGGTTGTTTTAGGTCTGAATTAGGTCGAGCTAGGTCGGATGACCTTAACCAACCTTAAACGACCTTAGGCAACGTTGATTAAGGTCATTTTAGGTCGAGCTAGGTTGGATGACCTTAACCGACCTTAAACGACCTTAATCTATAAGGTCATTTTTGGTCAGGTTAAGTCATTTTAGGTCGCATCATTTTGCAAGGTCATTCTTAAGTAAATTTGTAGGTTGTATGAAGTCGGGACCAGAATGACATTTTAAACTATTATTTCGAATTTGAGGTTTATTAAAAAGAGCATTTCTCTTCTCAAAATTGATCAAAATATTTTTTCCGTTAATTTAAAGGGACAGTAAAGGAAAAATAAAAGGGGGTATAGGCTGAAAGCTAATCACTTTAGCTCTTGATCGCGACCCATGAAAGTTTTATCTGATGTTACTATCTCGAGAAATTGATATAAAACTGTGTTAAAATCATACGAAAGTTCATATATGTAAAATTTAGAAAATCTTAAACTTAAATCACGTGTTCATGGTTCAATTATTCAAACACATGGATTTAACGGTTCTGTCAATATTCCAGAAAGCTGTGACTTTCGATCACAATTTGACCCATTAAACATAATTGTTTAGCCTTTCTTCTTAAATACTGTTTTGTCGGCATATGCATTTTGAATGAAAAAGTATAGAATAAACAAATCCGGTAAAAGAATGTTGATTTTAAATAGAAGAAGCCGAATGCTGCTAACTCTGGTTAGTCCTAGGTGCAAAAATTATTAAGTTTAGCAATTAACTATTTCTAATATTCTGACAATAAAACTCTCACATTAAAGTTTATTGGGTGACAGATATAACAATTTCGGGTTTGAAAACAATTCTATTGGTTTATCATTCAAAACAATTGCAACTATGAGAACGATGTTAAAAAAATGAATTGATCCCTTATTCATTTTGAACTTTTAATATGGCCACAATTTTTAGCTTGATCCTAAATTTGAGATTAAAAATTACTTAACAAAGGAAAACATTGCAATATTGTGTTGCAAAATTTAGGATTTAATTTTTTTTGTCAAATATAAATGTTTATACCAGAGGGAAACAAAACAAATGTTTAAAAAAATTAAATGAAATAAAATAAATAAAATATGTGCTTACTCCTTTCACTTTCAATGTTGCTTAGTATAAAATTTGGACCTCAAAAATAAATATTAATGAATTTAAGGAGAAAATAAATAATACTTTAAAATCTAAATACATATTACATGGCTCTGATAAAAATAACAATACGTTTTAGCCTAACTCCGTTTTTTCTTTCCTCTCAAATAAAATCATGAAAGTATCTACACAAGTTAATTTCAATCTATCTTTATTAACATATTATGTATCTAATTATGGGACAAATTGTTAATTAATTTTGTATTAAAGTAGCTTTATTTTAAATTAGTTGCAAGAAATGAAACAAGCAGGTTGAAGGCAGCTTTTGCATCAGTGCTGATGGATTCATTCCTTGAAAAAAAAAACTAATGGATGGATACCTTAATTGAATTGAATTTTTACAAAAATAGAACACAGAATGCTCTTTAATAGCGTCAAGATTGGAAGGAAAAGGTATTACTCATTTAAAATAGGAAAAAAATAACCAATTTAGTTTTTTTAACTGTGGAAAATATTTATTTTTTAGCAAATGAGGTTATAAAACATAAAAAAAAACCTTCCAGTGCTTTCAGATATAGATGGATCTACCTCATATCTCCTCGAACCATCCAGCCATGTAGCATATTCTTGTATTCCTTATACTCACAATGAATTCCAAACTTCATCACCCTGTGATAATGTCCTTGTATATTTAGTTAGATTCAAACCTGAGACCGGTAAAGAATACTTTGAAAGAGTGTGACCTGAAGGTAAGGTATAAAATGCAAAAAAGTTCTTAAAGTAATTGAGTTTTTGCCACAAACTTAAATTTTCGAATTCCAATATCTTAGCGACCTGATGTTGTACACATTTGATATTTCAAACTTAGATAAGTTAAGCTAACATAATTCATAGTTTAAAATATCTAAGGTCTATAACGACATTTGGTTTGAACAATACAAGGACTAGAAAATCAGAGTGTGTTGCAAAGACTCAATTCCTTTTATGGGATCAATCATCTTTGATTATTAATTATTAATTATTTTTAACCTTACCCCCACACTTTATTGGCTAGTCCACCCTTCTTCTCGTTATCGTGATCGTTTCCTATTTATAATTGATTATCTTATTGGCTAGTCCACCCTTCTTCTCGTTATCGTGATCGTTTCCTATTTATAATTGATTATCTTATTGGCTAGTCCACCCTTCTTCTCGTTATCGTGATCGTTTCCTATTTATAATTGATTATCTTATTTTTGAAAAGAAACGCTCACTCTGATTTTGCAGGTTTTTTCAAACAGAATTTTTTAAACGAAAATTGCATTATTCCGCTTTTTTAAAACCCAATCTTTTTATTCTAAATTATAAAGTTTACCCGCAGTTATTAATAGTTGCGGACACTGAACTTCATCAAGCAACTAGAAAAATAAAATACTTAGGTAATGATTGATATGCATATCAAATTTGATTTTAATAGTTTAACTGTTACATTAAACGATGAAAATCTTTTAAATAGACTAGTATCTTCGATTTACGAGATGAAATAAAAGAAAATCTTAAATATACAATAATAAACCAATATGAAACTTATTTCCTACTTATAAAATCTTAATCTTAAAGAAAACAGTATTAAAACTTTAATTTCTTGCTGTTTTCTGTTAATTCTTACTGTACTTCATAAAGGTTTTGTTGTAAAGCAAGTTCTGTAACTAAAGTGAGAGCCGGATGGAAACAAGCTCCTAAAATAAAAATAGATAGAATTTATTACTAAAAAAAGAGTATGCTAAAAGAAATAAGTGTGTTGAATTTCTTTTAAGTTAAATTTTTAAAAGATCTTGGATTAAAATAATAAGATAAAATGAGCTTTTTCGTATATTAACGCTTATATTTCTATATTTTAATGCCCAATGAATTAAATAGGCTTCCCAACCATCTTATATTAGCTATCCGTATAGAAATTAAAAAATGGATAGAAAAGTTGCTGATCCTACGCAAAGGAATTGAGTCTGTCAAATCAAATAATTTAAGTTTAAAATAGTGACTGTTTAAACCAGCAAGTTGAAAAGATATTAGGATCAGAAAAGTTGAGTATTTAAAAGCCTCAAAGCGAATATGTATGTGTTAAGTAAATTTTGATTCACAATAAGATAAATGAGGCCTTGCTGGATATTAACATTTGAATAATTTACAGTTAAGATATTATTTTGTAAGTCAAACTTATATGTTAAAGGAATTGAGTTTTTGCCACAAACTTAGATTTTCTATTTCCTATAACTTAGCAACCCGTTTTCTTAGACCTTCGATATTTCAAACTAACAATTCTGGTAGATCAAATAATCTACGTTTGAAATATCAAAGGTTTACACCATCAGGTTGCAAAGATATAGGGGTTAGAAAATGTAAGTTTGTTGCAAAAAATCAATTCCTTTAGGATTTTTTATGATTACTGCGACAAATAGTTTACCTTAATCTTAAAAGATATGATAAAAGAAAACTGTAAACAATGTGTACTGATTAGTTCGATTAAACCTGCTTTAAACTCTGCGTAGCTAGATAGCTTAGTTACTAGATAAGCTCCCCAACATGTTCCAACTGCTCCAAATACTTCGGCGCCTTTGGACCTGGAAAACTTTAATTAAAGTAAAATTTAGAAAATTTCCTATATCTCACTTTTTTATAAAGTGATTAATTTATTCTTCCTTTTAAGACAATTCAGAGGGAAGATTTTCAATAACTCTACACTTGTAACGTATTTTCATGAAATCCAGAGAAATTATTTTCAATAAAAATATAAACGTATATAACGAATGTATACATACGTCAGTAAATTTACAGGAAAAAATACAAGGAAAAATGATACTTTCCTTACCTAGCATATGGTAAAAGATTCTCTACCCACTCAAACTAAAATATTTAGTTTAAATAGATTTTTTTGGGTTTGGGTTAAGAGGGAAGGAAGTGAGACAGGAATAATACAAAAATTAGACCCATCTCTGGAGACAAAAAAGATGGGTCAACCCGGGGGGGCTCAATTTGCTTTCCAAGGATATAATTGTTATTCTCATAAAACGATTTGGTAAACATTTGTATTAAATAGTAATAGTAAATCTAACTGATACATTTAACATTTGTAAAATATAATAAACCTTATTGATTTTTTTTAATGCTGAATGTTTTAGTTTTGATTTTTCGAATAAAGTTTGGCAATGGAAGATTTTGTTTTGAAAGACAACGGTGTCCATGGGTCCGATTTTTCAAAGTAATACCAGAAAAAAACTAACAGCTGTGGTTTTTGTCAAAACTTTCCATCCTGCCTATATATCCAATATACCAAATAAGGCATGGAAGGTCATAACTAAGGATTCTTATATGAAGGATGTTTGACCTCCTATGATTGCATTTATACAGGCAGGGAATAGTTATCTAGTCTCTACAGAATATGCCCGTGCAAACCAAGCAACCTAAATCTACTTGAGATCTGAGAAAGATTGGAGGAATATTTCTGAACACTGTATTGTTGAAAGATCAGCAACAAAATTTAGAGTAGAGCTGAGATGCAAAGTAGATTGTATAAGTCTGAAAATATTGTTTACTGGAAGTGCACTGCATTACATGCAAAAAAGAAAACTGCAAAAAGCAGTTGTTAACAAATTCAAGAAAACACGAAGACGATTACTACTGTGTAGCGAAGTTGACCGCGCAAGATTCACAATACATAATACTATATCCGCTCCAAATGTGTCTCCTCATGTTCCCCCCCCCCCTTTACCGCCTCTACTTGTGGAGAACAGGGTCAGTTAGCTTTAGAATGTCGAGATGTGAACACCTCCGATCAGGAACTACTAACTCCTTTATGATGATGGCGCAGATACGCAGTAAGCAGCAGACGTGCTTACCCGAAGGGTTCCCAGTTTATCATGTAAACCAGAGACAACATGAAGCTCCACCTCATGATAAAACCGCGATCACTGCCTACTAGGTTTGATAAGCCCTGCTGTTTCAGTTCCTGTTGATCTGCTCCACCAACATGAAGCTCCAACTGTTCCATTCCTTTCAACACTAATAATCGATGTTATTTCATTTTTAACCGTTTAGATACTCCCAATTAAGGGTCAATATTTTTAAACTTTGCTTTTATTTCTCATTTCATGCTATTATTCAATAAAGTTACCGAATATCCCTTTTGTTCTTTTATTTGTGTCAACAGCAGTACATTGGTGAAACTGGTCGAAAATTCAGACTAGACTAAAAGAACATTTGTCTGGCACAGTTCTACCTGCCAGGACATAATATGTCGGACCTGGAGAAGTGTAGGGATGAGTCTAGAACTAATAGGATGGTTAGAGAATCTTGGTTCATTAACAAGTTTAAATCTAAAATCTGTGATATAAATAGAAAGATGTAAAATGAAATCATTAATCGTCTTTTCAATATTCTTCGAATCGGGAATTTGTAAAATTTATATTTTTTTGTTCAATTTCAAAACATATGACAAAACAAACAAACAAAACAAAAAAAATTCGACTATTAATATTAAATTAATATTGATAATTCATTTTAATATTATATTAAAAATAATAATTTGTAAATTTTATAAACCAATATATTTTGAAATTTACCAAAACAAAATATAGTTCTTACATTTTTATTATTTGATATCTGATTCAAAAAAACGTATTTTATTACTATTAATATCATATTAGTTTGTTTATATTGGTTTTAAATCGTTATGTTTTGAAATTAAACAAAACAGTATATAATTTTTACATTTTATTGTCTTGAGAATTCCTGAATTTTGTAAAACGTGTTTTATTACCAAGTGGTATAAATAAAGTCTCCAATAATCTAAATTTTTTTCTATATAAGTATATTGATGGTTTATTCTTCTATATAAGTATATTGAAGGTTTATTCTTCTCGACATAACAAAGGTAACTTTGTTGTATTTGGCATAAACCTGACACTTAGTGTCAGGTCTGGGCCAAATCTGAAGTTCTATAGTTTAGTATAATTAAGTTGATGAATTTACCTGCCTTTGACCAACCCAGTCTGATTGCGTCACAACCCAGCTAATCAAGTCTTCGTCTTCCAAACCCTTGACATCATGATACTGAGTAAAAAGTTAGTGGAACAATTAAGTGTCATCGATCCAAAACTTTAATCTTACTAAAAGTTTAACAAACAAAAAACTTCAGGAACCTCCTGCCTAGAGGAACATTTAAGTTTAGATGAATTTCATGAAATTGTATTTTATCCTTCAAAAGATTTCATTTTGACTTTTCTTTTATAAAAAATAAATAGCACTGTGGGTCCATTAAATGTCAATATTTCAACTACAATTATTTCAATTAAAGGAAAAAGAACATTCCAAGTTAACTTTACTAGACTGCAAACTAACCAGGAGGAAAAGGTCAACTTCAATTGACGTTACTGTTACTTTGTTACAATTAAAATTTTAATCTAACGTGCATTTTACTTAAGTTTGACTTGACAGGCAGTTCTCTCCCAAAAAAAATCTTAAACGACCGAGCCTTATTTGTCTTAAATAAGAGGTTTATGGTGTAAACTTCCCCTGTCTCATGATACCCCACAGTGCGATAATATTTTTGTTCATCTGTTTATTTCTCTTACCCTTGATTCTCCTCTGAAGAAGTCAGGTAGAAGAACCATATAACCTTTATCTGATAGCTTATCACATAATTCTCTTGTCCTGCCACCCTACTCAGTTGTAATTATTGTGATTTACTATTAAAATCACAACTAAATACATTACATTTACAAAAAAGTACTTCAACAGAAATGTAAGTACTGAATTTAGACTTCGTAGTATGTCAGATAAAAAAGTAATCTGAGCTGAAAACTTTAGAATGGTGGATATCAAGATTAATGCTTAATCCACTCTTTTTCTTAATTTCTAGATTAAATATTGCTTGTTTTCCTCATGAATTTAATCTCCAGAGCTGAAAACTTTAGAATGGGATATCCTTAATCATGATCGGATAATTAATCTGGAGATTAAAAATGAGAGGAGAACAAGCAATATTTAATCTGGATATTAAGAAAAAGAGTGGATTAAGCATTAATCCCGATATCCACCATTCTAAAGTTTTCAGCTCAGATTAATTAACAGGTCGGGATTAAGGATATCACATTCTAAAGTTTTCAGCTCTGAATAAAAAAGAGCATATTTAAAAAAAACTTAATCAAAGGAACTGAACACTCAACACACACTCTATATATATGATGGCGTAAACTTAAGATATTTTAAATGTTTTTATCTGATTAAACAGTTTAAATATCAAAGTTGGAAAAGAAAAAAAAACATTAAAATTGAATTCAATGACACAAAGCAGGTTGGTATGAAATATTGGGAAACAGTCTAGAATTCCTTGATCTATTGTTAGCTATTAAAATAAAATGTTTATTAAAGGAATTGAGTCTCTGCGACAAACTCAAATGTTCTTCTTATATATCTTTGTAACTTGATATCTCACTTATTGATATTTGATATTTCACACTTAAATTATTTGATCTAACAGAATTTATACTTTAAAATATCTCAGGTCTATCACAATGGCATACAAAAGATATAGGAATTAAAAAATCAGAGTTTGTGCCAAAGATTTAATTCTTAATATCATTTATATCCCATCATTTAAGTTTTTGAATTTTTGTGTTAAATTCATTTTAAAATGTTGGTCAAATTTTAACCTTAAACCCATATATGTCGTAGCACCAGACAATACATCTGAAAATAGAGATAATCACAAATGATTGTTTATATGTTAATATGTAATAAAATCACATTACATTAGAGTCAAGCTGAAATTGAATGTTAAATTTATATTATCAAAATTGTTCTACCTTCTGGAATTTCCTACTCTATACACATCCATATCACCAACCTGAAAAATAAAGAAAAAAAACGTTATTATTAACACAAGGCACTAAACGAAGCAAGAAAACAATTAGGATTCACGGGGACAGAACCTATTTAAAAAATTGTAAATTATAAAGGTCAGCATTTATATTATATTTTGTATTTATGTAGATATATTTTTAACTATCTTGATTGAATGTTATAGATTCTGGATTTCTGGATTTTTCAGAAGTGCAGAACAAGCTTGATCAATTCTTGTCAAAAAAATAAGTATTTAAATTCCTTATATTCTGTGGCCTCTCAATGAGTTGTTTTTTCATGTTTCTGATAAACAAACTTTTCATTTCGCTAACGACGAAGAAAACATGAGAAATTATTCAATAATTTTAAAATAGATTTTAAAAAATCCATGTTGTAGTTTTTAAAAATTCTTGTTTTGTTATCTAAGGTATGTCATTTCTCTAAAAAAAAACAACATATCGTCATTTCGTTTTTCGTTTTTCAAAGTTCAAACCTAACTGTTATTTTAATCCCTTTATTGGTTTTGTTAAATAAAAAAAATAAGTTCCAACACTAAGTGCCGACACTTTACCTTTTCTATAATTCCTTTATCCTTCCAGGAATACCCAGGATATGGATCCCCACCTAAACATTATAATGTTGTTGACCATAAACCTATCTTCTAACCCCCACGCATACGTCTTGTCGTCTTTACCAACCCCAAATCCAAACCAAACAATTTCTCTGACTCTACCTGTCTACCCAGACAAAGGGAAATCGAAACAGTGAAAATGGAAGATCTAATCCATGAATAACTTTGCAATTCATATTAAGTTCCACTTAAAAAATCCGGGTTTAAATTTTCAGAAGTCCATACAAATGTTTCAAACTATTCCATCAAACCCAAAATCCTTAATCACTCCTTTTTTACTGCAACACGGAAAACTAGTAAGTTATACTATTAAATATTCAACTACATTAATACATGGTCATTTAATTTTATTAACATTGTCATTTAATTTTATTATACCTGCATTCTAATGCAGGTTAAAAATGCATCTATTTACTGATTATTTGGAACTATACTGTGTCTGAGCTGAGGAGCATAACCGACTTACAGTCAAGCAAGTCTACCTATCCATTTATCAACCGACTTACAGTCAAACAAGTCTACCTATCCATTTATCAACCGACTTACAGTCAAACAAGTCTACCTATCTATTTATCAACCGACTTACAGTCAAGCAAGTCTACCTATCCATTTATCAACCGACTTACAGTCAAACAAGTCTACCTATCTATTTATCAACCGACTTACAGTCAATTAAGTTTACCTATTTATTTATCAACCGACTTACAGTCAATCAATCAACGTCGCCCTCCTAAAGTTTTACAAAGGTATACAGCATTGAAAGACAGACGATTTTAATGAACTACAGTTGTTTACACAGGTTTTACTTTTATGATAAAAAATGAAGCCAGACACACTACTAAAAGAATTGAGGGATTCCAGCAGAATGAAAAAATTTAACTTCAAGACTCAGGATTTGCGAGCAAATTTTGTTTTCAGTCGAGAAAAAACGACGAATTAATTGCGTGGAATGACTTTGACGCAAAAAAAGTTTGCTCAAAGATTTGCAGATATGTGACATTGAAAAACCCAACATTTTGTGGTCATAACCATTTTATTGGCAAGATTGTTTCAAAAATGGGGTCTATGTTCTCTAGAAACTCACAACAAAGGACATTAGGAGGTTTAGATTTAACAATTAGCAGTCGACAGCTCATATTGGATCCTAATAAGTCCTTAATCTTTTACATCTCTTTATTTTGAACAATATAAAATGTTTACTGGAGGAAGAACATAAATAATTCGAAACACTTGAAATTCAGAATTCATACATTACACTGATATTTTACTACGTGCACTATTATCATCAAAGGAATTGAGTCATTGCCACAAACTCTGATTTTCTAATTCCAATATCGTTGCAACCCAATGTCGTAGACCTTTAATATTTCAAACTATAAATGCTATTAGATCAAATAATGTAAGTTTGAAATATCAAAGGTTTACATCCTAAGGTTGCAATGATATAGGTTTTACAAAAACTGAATTTGTGGCAGAGACTTAATTCCTTTAATGATGTTTTATAGTTATAAAATTTTAAATCTTACTTTTCAAAGATGTGAAAAAATATCTTTTTCTTTATGATAGGACAATAACAGAATATGTAGAATAAAAAAGTTTTTGTGCAGAATTGCTCACCACTTGGGCTTGTTTCCGCAAAGTTTTTTTTACGAAAAATAGGGATTTCCGCAGCAAATTTTGCGGAAAACAAGTCTTTGTATGATTGTTGTCATTATGCAAAACAAACAGAAAGAATCGACTCGAGCACTAATAAATAATATGCTAACAGTACAAAATAAAAACTAAAAATTATGGACTGTTTTAATTGAACAATTTACCTACCCGGATGTGAGCCATCAGGACAACACGTCATTGTATGTCCAATGCAGTATCTGTAAGACATATTATTAAGTGTGTTCTCGAGGTTTTAGCCATATTAGAGTCAAGGTTTTGGGCGACGAAGAGGAAAAACAGCTTGCCCTCATGGACAGTTTTCGTTTCAATAGTTTTATAAATATTGTCTTGTAATCTTCATAAAATTTGTGATCTAAGATTCTTAGATCAACAGTCCTCACTAGTTGTTCGAAGTTCCTTATTTAGTTATTTTAGTTTACTGCACACCCTTGTAGGTAAGTGAAATCCACTTAATTTCTAAATTCTAAATAAAATCCGCCTCAATTAATCGTTATCCTATTTAGAATTATTTTTCATTAATTTCCATTCATATATTTTCTGTACTCTATATTCAACCTTTCTTACTTAACTTACCTTCTGTAAAAAAACTAAATATAATTCTTATTTGATAGAAAAAAGTATTTTTATTATTTCGAATGAAATCTTTTTTTCTCGCTTTGGAAGATATATAACAAATAATTATTATTTGATCATTTTCCACCAAGGGCACATCTACTACTATAGAAAAGAATATTTGAAAAATGACCAAGGGGGAGGTGTAAAATTCTAAAACTTTCTGAAATAAACAAATGTATCTGAAAGATATCCATACATCTAATTTGACACGTATTTTTGTGTAAGAATTTAGAAGGGAAGGTTATATCCCCTGAATTAAAGCTTTCCAGCTTTCTTTAGATAATTATACTTTTGCCAGACATTGTTAAGCAGATAATCATGGTCAATGTATACTTTAATTTGTAAAGAGTGGGGGGGGGGGGGNGGGTATTTTACCATTTTACCATCTTTGTTTGATTTCTCTTTAATATGCAATTGTCTTTCAAAACTGAATGGTTTCTAGGTAAAAAAGGCATATTTGTGTAGAATTTAGAAAATTTTTATGACCTCTACTTGTCTTAAAATTTTTCATATCAGTAAGATTAAATTGAAAAACCCGGGTTGAAGAAGGGAAATTTTTTTATATTGATTAAAGGGAGTGACCGGCAAAATATGGAGGTTGAACTGAATATGCAGTATAGTGGACACATTTCTTAGGATTTATTTGAGACATATAAAAGGTTTCTACGATGTATATATACTGAGTTTGAGCGCAAAGTCGACGTTCAAAATCATGAATTTGGTATGTACGTTTTGAGAATTGGGTTTTCTAACTATAAAAAAACGACGACAAAAAAATGTAAACAAAATTCTACAGATAAGTAATTTGTTGTTTAGGAACAGGTTGAGAACATAAAAATTAACTTATTAAAATAAGTAATCTTATTCAATGATCAGTTTCTATAATCTCGCATTATTCGCAAAGATTTTCTGCAGATTATCTGCAATTTTTATTGAAAAGACGACATTTGACAATATTGTAGAAATCTGCGAACAAAAGAAATTCAATATAACGATGGAAACGAAATAATTGATTCCAACATTGATTTATTGGCAAAGTTCTTTTGGGAAATATGTTTCTAAACATCTAATTAGTTTACTATATAATTTTTACTTTATTTTTCGTCGTCGTTCTTTAATAATTAAAAAAACGATTCTGAAAACGTACCCACCCAATTTCATGTTTTGAATGTCGACTTTGCGCTCAAACTCAGTAATCGTGGAAACGTGTTATATGTCTCAAATGAATCAGTTTAACCTCTATACATTGCCGGTCACTCCATTTAAAGCTCGAACTTTTTGATTAAAATATTTAGGTTTAGTTTTAGCCAGTTAAGTAAAAATAAGCTTATAAGAAGTATAAAAACCTTTTATCTTTATATCTTCAATATCTATCAAAATAAAAGTTAGTGTATATAAGCCAGATTCACCTGTCAGAAATCAAACTCTTAAACTCTCTTTACTTTGGATATAATTTTTATTAGAATTATTACTTCAAGTAAACTTCTCTAATAATAATATTGATTAACTTCGATTCTTCATTTTAGTTTTCCCCAAAATAATACAAAAATATTTGTTATTTTCCTTTTCTCATCTATATTTAGTACCTATATATCCCTGACTCTCCTCCCACGCTTAAGTATAAGACAAGTTAGGATATCTCTAAACCACCACCTGTAAAAGTGCAAGAGTATGAGTTCTACTAGTACTCAGTGCAAGCTTGAGAAGTATACATTTTATACACACAGACTCAACAAGGTGTGGGAACACAGTTATTGATTTTATTTTGGGCTTAAATACTACTTATTTCCAGGGGTCCATATATTTCCTTTTTCAATCCCATTTGGGATTGACAAATTAAAGAAAAAAAATTGGAGGCATTTTTATTTAATTGGGGGCAATTTATTTGAAATTTGGAATTTGAAAATGTTTTTTAATTGGGGGCATTTTTTGTAATTGGGGGCGTTTTTTATAATTGGGGGCAAATGGGGGCAAATGTGTTGAAATTTGAAATGTTTTTTAAATTGAGGGCATTTTTTTAAATTGGGGGCAATTGGGGGCAATTGGGGGCAAATGGGTTAGTGGAATTTGAAAATGTTTTTTCAATTGGGGGCATTTTTTGTAATTGGGGGCATTTTTTATAATTGGGGGCAAATTGGTGCAAATGTGTTAGTGGAATTCGAAAATGTTTTTTAATTGGGGGCATTTTTTTAAGTTGGGGGCTAAAAATTATTTTGGGATCGAGAAAATCAGCTATTTTGGGAATTATATTGACCCCTGCTTATTTCTTGTTAAGCTAGAGACAAAAGTCGCGATCGAATGTTTACAAACACCAGACTGTCCGGATTTTGGGCGAAAACTATATTTTTTGTATCTACTAGAATTTTTGGTTCTCTGAAAATGGGGCATATACTTTGTTTATTGTACATTTTTGTGCTTTTGTTATTTCAAAATTTAAAAAACTGTAATTTTGGCTTTCGATTAAGATTTGTTCAGGTAAAAGACGTCAAACAATATTAATCGAGTTTTGAATAATTTTGAAATTAAAATACAAAAATTACAATTTGCTCTCTCTGAGGTGATTTTCTCGTCTAAACGTGATAATTGCTCTTTGATTTGCTGATTTTAAAATAGATTCATTCTTTGGAAATTTCAATATTTTGACGATGTTAACGTATGCATAAATGAGTCAATAATTGTCAGTTCCCAATAGATCCCAATTTGCATTAAAATAAAACTAAGGAAAATGAAAAGTCTTAAGTTAATTTTAAAAGATAAACATCCTAATATTTTCTGTTTCTGTTTCTAAATAAAATACTTCAGTCCACTGTATGGTCCTCGCTGAATTTTCCTTTTTTCTTTGTGATGAAAACTGTGCTTGTTTTAAAACATATTGACGGTGCCAATTGGGATTCGAAACTTACTATGTGCCTGGTCAAGGATTAAGAAATTACATTTTCAGATTGAGTTGGGATTTCAACCCCCGCCTCAATCTCAGAATAACACGCCTTAACCAACATGAATAGCTTTTTTGACGGCATTAATAAAACGTTAAACTGTAAAAACCATGACTTACAGAATTAATTGATTTGTTAAACTAATAAAAAGAAAAATATTGGTAATGTTGATATTTCAAACTTTGAATATTTGACCCTAGAGAATTCATAGTTTAAAAAATCAAAGATCTACGTGCACCTGAGATGGGAACTTTTGAATGGGATATCCTTAATCTTGATCGGATTATTAATCTGGAGATTAAAAATGAGTGGAGAACAAGCAATATTTAATCTGCAGATTAAGAAAAAGAGTGGATTAAGCATTAATCCCGATATCCACCATTCTAAAGTTTTCAGCTCTGAGCTGAAAACTTTAGAATGAAATATCCAGTTATGAGATCGATTTGTTTCTCTGGAGTTTAAATTCATGTGGAGAACAAGCAATATTTAAACTGGATATTAAGAAAAAGAGTGGTTTAAGCCTTAATCCTGATATCCACCATTCTAAAGTTTTCAGCTCTTGTTACAAATATAAAGAAAAGATCTACGTGCACCAGGTTACAAATATAAAGGAAAGATCTACGTGCACCAGGTTACAAATATAAAGGAAAGATCTACGTGCACCAGGTTACAAATATAAATGAAAGTTAAAGGAAGATTGCCATTTTAAAAGCTATTGATAAGCTAGACATAAAAAAATTAAAATCTTGTAGAATTTAAAGTTTTAATTTTTTAATTTTAATAAACATTTATTAATAATTTTTCATATACAAACCTTATTTATCTTACGTTACGGATTTTTATATTGATTTGTACAACTTTCGATTTATAAAATAGAGAATATTTTATCTGTTAAGATCGTTTAAATTCAAAAAGGATATTATTATCATTAATTCGTTTGATACTAGCGAAATGTTAAGTTGTCATTAAAAAGGTTAGACTCAGATATTTTAAAAAATATATACTTCTAGACATTTTTTCCAGATGTGTCAAACAATGTTATGTAAGAAATCAAAAGAAAAGGATGGCTGTGATAAATGATGAAAGTGATATTATATATAAAAATAAGAAAAGTGAGTACAGCTCAGAACTAAGAAGTAAATACAATTTTCTAAAATGGAATACAGACGGGAGTCAGAGAGTTCAGACGAATACTACCAGGAAGAATATATTTCAGACAGGGAAAAAGCAAATTTGAAAACCAAAAAAAAATATTTAATGTATCGTATATTATTAACGTTTGGATGAGTATTAGCTCTTTTTTACACCCTCAAATATATAATTATATAGTTTCAGTACAGCGTGCACGCAAAGAGAGACTTAAAATGCAAGATTTTTATTAAACCCATTACAATTTCTATACCAATAAAGGTGAAACTATGGAGCACTTTTTTGTTAAAAACGCTATTTTTTTCAGTTTCACAATTGTTTCAAATTCTTGGACTAATTCAGATTTTTGCAAGCAAATCAAGAATTTCATTAAACATACACGTCTGATTATCAAAATATCAGTCTTGAAGTAAACAACCGTTCTTCTAGCTTCGAAAGGGCAAGAGCTTGTATGCATGAATTCCAAAATTGTTATATTTGCTGTACATTTCTCTCTCCACTCAACATAATCACTGGAACGACTTTGAAACATCTTAGCTTATCTATTTTTTACTTTACGCTTAATACACTCACGCAATATTTATTCGATCAGAGTACTTCAAACCACTGCAGTACCCCCGAAATATTAGTTTAGTTCAGGGTGAATAATGAGAAAAGTAAATTAAAACATTTTTCATTATTTCTCAATAAAATTCCAAAATCTTCGATCTGTTGCCGAATTTAAAGAATTTGAGCGGTGGCTTAAATTTAACCCACGGTTTAAATATGGTTGGTTCCACTAAAAATTGTGTCAAATGTTTCAAGATTTAAGTCGGCGCTTAATTTAAACCGGGTTTTGGCAGATTTAAACCGCGGCTCAAATTCTTTAAATTCCATCTCTGGTTTAGTTTAAAATTATTTAATTTTCTAAAATATTGTATATTTATTGCTTTTTCAAACCAACAGGTTTCTATCATTCATTCCAAAGCTAGGAAAGAAATCGATCTATTCATAGCTTGTTTTAGAAACTTAGAGTAGATATTAAAGCTAACAATCAAATCAAAGTGTTTTGCTGTACTTGCTTTAAAAAATATTGGCTTAAAAATTGGTAAAGGCATCAAAGGTTTATTTATTGTTTAAATTGCATGCACCGATTGATCTATTTAATGATGAGATTACTTCGGTGGGTGTGGTATTCAAGAGTTGGCCGGCCTTAAACAGGTGATTTTTATAAGAAACCAATTATTTGCGGACAAGATTATCCTACTCATATGACCTTGGTTATACCAAGCCAATACTAACAATGCCAAACAGGTTTAAAAAGGTTGGGTATGTTAATCCTCCGTATTTATGATAATATATATACAAGTACACAGAAATCATCTAATTCATGCGAACTCTTAGTAAATGTATGCCAGGAAAATAAAAGTTAAGATTAAGAATCACTAGCATTCAGAAAACAATATCAAAATAAGAATGAATGTTCACTACAATACTGCAAATTTTAAATAGCTTGTACAAAGATAAAGTTTCTGAATTATAAATTCAAATGTTTTCATCTCTATTTAATTCGACACTCTATCTAGTTTTCTTAAATTTTTTCGTTTTTCATAGAATCCGTATTTAAATGTTTAAATGTTCAGGCCTCCTACGATCAGCTTTCCCTAGAATGGTCTATGCTGTGCCAAGAGTGCACACAATGTTGGTCACATAATGGTAAGTCGATGAAACAAATACTTGAATTTTAATTTTATTCATTGTTTAATCAAAGATAAATGTAAAAATTGTAATTTGAATAATATTCTTTAAACTATGGAGGCGAGAGAGATTTGGATTTTTTCAAGGATGTAAGGGAAGTAAAGTTATTTCAGAAGTGTAGATATCTTTTGTACTGCAGTTTAAATCAATGAAATATTCTGGTCATACTATCATGGGAATTATAAAAATTATCAAAATTTAACGCTTTTAACCTCCTAGGACACTAAACGAACACTGATGCATCTATTCTTATTTACAAATTCCGCCCAGAGAGAACTGGTTTCAATATGTACACAGAGTATACACAACCGCAATTGTCTTTCCTTACATTACATTTTAGTCTCATAAAGACTTGTTTGATAAATTGGGGAGAAGATATATGGGAGAGATGAAGAGATAAAAAGATGTGGTATCAGAGAAGTAAGAAAAAGAAATATTGAAGGGAGAAGGGATTTACTTGTAGCTTTCATTCTTATTAAATTTAGATAAACTATATCGATCCTACCATTATTTCTAAAGCCATGTAAGGTGAATACTGCGCCGGTGAAATTTTTTATTTAATCACTTGATCGAGCATAATGGAAGAGTGTGTACCCAGAAAATCGTATCATGGATACTTTAGATATTGTCATATACTCGGTGTTTATATTCAAACTTTATGCATTTCGGGAGAGAAAAGCTAATAAAATTGACAGTATAATTAAAATCCCCCCCCCCACATTCAGCTCAATGAACGTACTCCCATAAAAATAGAATTGAGATTATTTTGTTTGTTAAACCTATCGGAATATCCAAATATTTGGCTTTATTTCTTACCGACCCCTATTTCATGCTGTTATTTTTAATGTTAATGTGGACTATTCTAAAGCAAACCAAACTGAAGACGACTTTTAAAATTTTACTTGAAAACTTGTTTTTGATTATATAACGATAACACGCAACATTTGACAATTTCCAGTAGTTGGCGTCTTCACCTATATAATGAGTATCTATTTATAATGCTTCGATTGCCATGACAAGCGCTTTTCAAATTTCAAGTTAACATGCACAAAAATAGATGCTGTTAGTTGATAACTTTTCTTTAATATGTTTCTGTGTTTCTGCTGTTTAAAAGGTTTGTAGAAATCAAAATTGAAAGCTAAAGTCGTGTTGATTGTTTTGCTAAAGATATTTGTTTAAGTATTTTTCTCATTCACAGTGTGGCTGAGGAAATATCAAGACCTTTTTTTCTGTAATTAACTAAATTATCGTATGGGGAAATTTCTATAGTACTCAGTTAAAATTCTCCATCCTCTTTTCTTTCCTTTCTCTTTTCTACGTTTTCTATCCGTAGAATGTCATTCAAACTTGCATTAATATCAATCTTTTAAATTACGATTGCTATCCCTAGCTCAGGCCTTTTAAGGCAGGTATATATTTTTGTCTATATATTGTTACTGTTAACTGTGTAGTGTGTGCAGTGTGCAGTCTGTGTATAGTGTCTGCTTATAGAAATCAAAACTTGCTATTTCAACTCTTGAATAATAGATAGATTGTTTTTGTAAATGCTCGTAGTCAACACTATCTCAAATATTAGGTCTTTTAGATTTTTCAAAAAATATGATCATTTTATGTTTTTACTTGGCTAAATATTGATTAATTCACATTAAGAACTAAATCTAATGTGTACATCCAAGAAAAAGAAATACATAAACAACATTTGGCTTGGTGTGCAGGTTATTTAGCTTTATGCCGCGCGCAAATGGAAATATGTTTAAAAAGCACATTTCAGCTTCTCCCACGGTCAGCTTTAGTGCTAGAAATATAAAAACGTTAGTAAATTATCTTAATTTACTAACGTTTTTATTATAAATTATGATAACAAATTCACCATTTTGATCAGCATATCATGATTGTAAGATAATTTATAGATGTTTTAAAAACGCTATCTCTAAATCTGACCATGGGAGTTAAATGGGCTTTTTGCATATATTTCTTTATGCGCAAGCCAATTTTTGCTTATTTATTTATTTATTTTTCTTGGATGTACACATTAGATTTAGTTCTCAATGTGATTTAACCAATAATTTGTCAATGAAAAACTTAAAATAATCAGATATTTTGTACAATTTGTAAATTCTAAAAGACCTAATATTTGTGTAGTGTCAACTATTTCAGTCTTGTGGACATTCATAGCTGATTATTCCATGGAAAGTATAGACATACAAATTATATAATGATATAGACGTAATTTGTTTTGATATTCACGTATCTAAATGTTGTAGTTGTACTTTACACTTTTCACTGAACAATAATATCAAAAGGAAAAGTGCCGCAGCCAAATATTTTCAAATTAGGGGAAAGGTTGCAATTTTCCGATCTTTCTAGAGAGGGGTTAAAGAAGAAATTGAAATTTTTGTGTTTTTTTTTATCAAAACGAATAATTCTAGCTTCATCTAGTAAATAAAGAACATTTTATTATTTGTTATCAAAACTAGTAAATTTTGCGCGAACTGTAAAATTCTAGTAGAACAGAGAAAATTTTATAAATTTATTTTGGAAACTTTTAACAAACCCAATTTACACTAACCCAGAGTATATTTCTAACCAATATGCTCTTTTTCAAAAAATTATTAAAAATTTTAAAACCTTCATAATATTGGGCAAATTGATATTGTAACCTAGATTTATTTGATTTTCTCAAAGGAATTGACTCTTTGCCACAAACTCTGATGTTCTAATCCCAATATCTTTGGAACCCAATGTCGTAAACCTTTGATATTTCAAACTTATATTTTTTGATCTAACAAAAGTCATAGTTTGAAATTTCAAAGGTTTACGACGTTGGAATCCAAAGATATAGGGATTGGAAAATCAGAGTTTGTTGCAAAGAGTCAATTCCTTTCAAGAAAATGATTAACTCATCAGATATTAGCCTTTCTGTAGCGGTTTGGTTTTTATTAAACATTTTTATATCACTTTTTGATATAAGCACTCAGCAGGCTCAATGAAAGCAAAAAAATCATCAACACTCAGTTTAAGCTTAAAAACTGTACCAGGTTGAGCTATGATCTCTTTTGCATTTTACATTCCCCAAAAAAACTGAGACTCATTTTTAAGCTATAATTTTATTAAAATACATAATAAAGCAAAAATAAGAATCTGAGAATAAATTAGGTAACAATCACAAGACCTCCTTATATATGTCATACAATAGGAAGAAGGGGGGGGGGGGGAGAAATCCTCCCTTTCTCGGTGAGAACTTCACGCTCGTCACGAGTCACGACCCTAAAAGAAAAAAAAATTATCTACATGTTTTAAAAAAATTGAAATGATAACACTCATTGCAATATCTTTTAAACAAAATTAACTTATCAACATGCTTATCAATATTAACTAATGTTTAACTGAAAACTATATGAAGCAACAAGTTTATGAAATGAAATTTACACTTTATGTATATATTTGTATTAAGATCTTAGTTATCATAGTGTGTTTGAGAGAAAATCCAGACTCATGCAGTGTATTAGTTGTAGAATTCTGATCCCCAAATGGAGAGAATAAAAAGTTGTTAATTTTTAGTAAACTCTGTTCTAAATCTTGTTTTGTATAAGACGTTTCAAAAATTAAAATTTAAGCATTTGTCGTTTGTTCCTTTAGTTTCTTTTTCTCTTTCGTGAGAACTGAATTATGTTGAGAAATATTTAATTACCTAACCTTTGCAAATATAACAAGTACACTGTATAAGATAAAGTTTTAAGTTCTCACAATTTCAGTTTAAAATGCAAAAAACATGTCTACTGGGATACCATGTAAAATTATAAATAACGAGACAATAGAGAAGATTTATGTAACTGAGGAGAAAACACCAGTTGAAGGTCTAGTATATATTATTATGAAGTAATATGTATTTAAACTCCTTCTGCTAAATTTTATACAGTAAAGTAAAGTACTGATTAAAACAAATTTTTTCTGGACTTTTTCCAAAAAGAGGCCAAATAAAGAAATTTAAATCTTAATTGAGGAAAGCAGATTGTGATAATCTTAATTCTTTATGCTATACCATATTTGTGACAAAAATGAATAAAAATATGATGACCATAAATTAAACTATCCAGGCCGTAATATTGAGTGCAACGCTTGTACTGATCCATATGATGATCATGAGCTTGAATATGATGACCGAGAACTTGAATATGAATATGAACCTGGAATTAGCTTATCCGCACTCCACTTTAGGTTCAACTTTAACCTGTGAAAAATATAAACTCAATAATCGTTGCAAGGATTAAAGCAATGTATTGTTTTGAAATTTTGCATCATTTTACAAAAAGTGTCGCAAAGCGTTGAGCTTTGATTTTACCGCTCTAACTCACATATGCTTTTTTTGTAGCTCTAAACATGGACATTTCAAAACTATAAAGCACTTGCATATTGCTATAGTCTTAAAGAAAAAAAGGTTTTTGTGAAAGATCGCATGCTTTAAATCACATTGAATGAAATAGATAGCAATACAATGAAAAGGTTAAATGGTTAATGAAGGATTAATATTGAATAAGAAGGGTTACTAAGAATTTAAAAAATATGTATTTGAAAGAAAGGTTGGAAGGGTTAAAGTTATCAATTGCCAGCAGGGAGAATAATGGGAAGTGGCTCGGGCACTGCAAGGGGTGCAGATGTATAAGTTCCGCCCCTTCAGAGCATTGTGGAGGCTGTGTCTGTCTCCAGGAGTCTGGTAAGAAAAAATGTATTTCTATTTATATATTTCCTTAAATAATGAAGACAGATTAAGAATCCAAATAGGGATATGCATAGTTACTGTTAGGTTATATACTCTATACAGTTCTATGTAAGTAACATTAGAGAAAGGAAACTGAAGAGTTAAGCTTATCTCATAATTTTCTCAGATGTAGATAGAAGGATCTGGGTCAATTGAAGGATCAGGCTAGGTTAAAGGGTCTGGTTTGGTTGGAGGGTCTGGTTTGGTTGAACTATTTTGTTTAGAAGAAGGATCTGATTTGGTTGGGTCTGGTTTGGTTGGAGGGTCTGGTTTGGTTGAACTATTTTGTTTAGAAGAAGGATCTGATTTGGTTGAAGGATCTGGTTTGGTTGGAGGGTCTGGTTTGGTTGAACTATTTTGTTTAGAAGAAGGATCTGATTTGGTTGAAGGATTTGGTTTGGTTGGAGGATCTGGTTTGGTTGGAGGGTCTGGTTTGGTTGAACTATTTTGTTTAGAAGAAGGATCTGATTTGGTTGAAGGATTTGGTTTGGTTGGAGGATTTAGTTTAGTATAAGGATCTGGTTTGGTTGAAGGATATGGATAAGTTGCAGAATCAGGTTTTGTTGAAGAATCTGGCTTGGTTGAAGGGTCTGGTTTGGTTGGAAATTTTGGTGTAAATTATAGAAAGTTGTAAAAATCCTAGAAAGGGACGGGAATATATGTGCTGAACAATTGGAGTTGAGGATGTTCATGACGATCCGCCGGATTTCATGAAGATTGGAGCAGTCATAAAGGAAAAGGTCTAAATTAAATTTCACGCCTAGGCTCCGACCTCCATGAAACCCGACAGACCGCCATGTACAATGTACATTCTCAACTACCGCCTTCAACCACCAGTTAACCACAACAACTTGATCCTCACCGCTGCTTACAAACGTGCTATTCAGGAGAACAACATCAATATAACTGGACAAAGGAATTGACTCTTTGCCACAAACTCTGATATTCTAATCCCAATATCTTTGGAACCCAATGTCGTAAACCTTTGATATTTCAAACTTATATTTTTTAACCTAACAAAAGTCATAGTTTGAAATTTCAAAGGTTTACAACGTTGGAATCCAAAGATATTGGGATTAGAAAATCAGAGTTTGTTGCAAAGAGTCAATTCCTTTGTCCAGTTATATTGATGTTGTTCTCCTGAATAGCACGTTTGTAAGCAGCGGTGAGGATCAAGTTGTTGTGGTTAACTGGTGGTTGAAGGCGGTAGTTGAGAATGTACATTGTACATGGCGGTCTGTCGGGTTTCATGGAGGTCGGAGCAGTCATAAAGGTAAAAAGTTAAGTTGGTTTTCATAGTTAGGATGTACAGTTTGTTGATGGCTTTCAGTTCATGGATGTTCTTCCCTTGCTAGATTTGATTATTCACTTGGTTAGAATATTTTACTGTTTGGTGTTTTCTTTTTCTCGGAGTACAGATTATTGCTTTGGTTTGGATTTTGGGCTGGCAAAGACGACTTTAAGTGGGGGAGGGGGGGGGGAATAGAAGATAGATTTAAGGTCAACAATTATAAAATATCACTCTCCACGAAACGCTACTATATCTTCGGTCAGCGCACTGCACAGATTACTGCAAAACACGCCGAAAGCTTAGTTGATGGTGAAATAAACTTTTTTCTCTGTGAAAACTAAATTACTTTTGCCCTAGGAATGAAGACTTGATGAATATGTACAACCATGGATACATTATATTTCTCTTAATAATTATAGATAACAATAACAGTTGTCTTTTCTTCATTACAATTTGAACAGTGTTAATATTTAGATTTTCACAGTTTATATGAAATGTGTAAAAAATGAAAAATAGGAAAAAACAGTGTTTTAATCTTTTCGTTTTTTTTCCATTACTTGAATCTCAAGAATTCTCATGAATTTCCGGAGAAGGGTTCTCCATTATAATATTCCAGGGATTAACACTGGACAGGGATAGAGAATTTTTCGAAACCATTTTCGAAGAATTTCTCGAACCCAAATCCAACTCTGATATGAATAACTTGTTATAATAGAACACTTTTCCAGTCTTTTCCACGTTTTTGAACAGATTAAGGTTTAAATGGTACCGTTGTAAATCGGGTGTTGCCATCTTTGAATGGAGGATCACTTGAAATTACGCTTACAATCCCATTAAGCTGGAAAAAACATGAATGAAAGAATAAATTCAATCTGAAGAAATTTGGCGTTTCATTTAAATTTTAACTATCAATGATCGAGTTCTTTATTACAAATGGACATTCTTTTTATAAGGTAAATTGTATTGGTAGCTCCATACGTTTATTCCGACATTACTATCGGGACATCCTAAATTGAATGAATTTAGTAGCATTGATTTGGTGGTTGAACTTCAACGTCTTATAATCTGGTCAAAAATTCTAAATTCTTAGTATCTATTCAACCATTGTTCTGTACACAACTAAAGTTATTTACCATAAATATAATTCTTGTATTTCGGAAGAGAATTAACAGCTTAAAACATCTTTTGTTTGTGCACTGCTGTTACATAAATTAATCCATGTTCGGGTTAAACACTGTGTTTTGCGTAAAGCATTCAACTACAGACATCAGTTCCAGATAAACTTTAGCCAGTTTTGCAGACATGTTTGATACATTATGGAAGATTACAAATCTAAGAAGGCAGTATTTAATATGTCGGCTATTGGATCAAATATTTCGACTGAAGGATTTAACATGGGGACAAGTAGATCAATCGAAAAATTACCTCACAAAACTATAACTTACGTAAATTCTAAGCTGATCGGTAATTTATGTGATAGTAACTCAAATAATCATGCTATTCAAATTCTGACTAATTACAACTCCCTCAACTATGATTATGATCAATCTGATCAATCATTGTCATGTGGTGATTCTGTTACATTATGCAGATCGTTAGTGTTTGTGCAGTGGACGATCAAATAGGACAAGTGCAGATAGATAACAAATTCCTAGTTGCAAAATAATTACTTATTATATAATAGTTTTGTTGGTCAGATTGCGACGGTAAAAATCGTTACATATCAAAATTTAAATCAAGAAAACACTAAATGTATTTTTGTCTTTTCTTAACTGAATAATCAGATGTTAGTGTACGAACAAAACATAACATGAGTTCTCTTCGGTCCAAGTTTAAATAAAACCACAATCCAGGTCAAGAATAATTCATCGGAAATGATACAATCAATAATGTATCAATCGTAGGGTCCGCCGGATCGGAAAATCATGTTAACTCTTTCACGTGGATTTAACGGTTCTGTCAATATTCCAGAAAGCTATGACTTTCGATCAGAATTTCTTCTATTAAACATAATTTTCAACCTTCTTTCCTAAATGCTTTTTTGCTGGCATATACATTTTGAATAAAAAGTATAAAACAAACAAATCCGTAAGTTTAAAGATTGTTAAAATATAAACCAAAACGCGTATGACTTCAAATAGAAGAAAACGAATGCCTCTAACTCTGGTTAGTCCGGGGTATTTAACATACGGCAAAGGGAATGCAGTCAGAAAGAGTGTCCTATGGCAATAAAAGCATTCTATTTATCAATAAAACAAATATTTATATTATTTATAAATTCAGACATAAAACATACCTTTGGATTTCAAATAAGAACAGAAAAGAAAGAAACTGAGTTTATGGGCATTGGGTTGCAAAGATATATGGATTTTATAATTCATATATAATCCATATATCTTTGCAACCCAATGTACTAGTAAACCTTTGATAATTCAAACTATGAATTCTTTTAGTTCAAAAAAGATTGAAATATCACAGATTTACACCATCAGGTTTCAAAGAAAAAGGGATTAGAAAAGTTGAGTTTGACACGAAAACTCAGTTCCTTGGTAGAGACTTGAGATTTATATTATGCGAATAATTTCTTGTTCATGTTCAATATTGAATATGGAAAACAAATATAGTTAATAATGAAATGTTGATATTAATTAATTTATTAATTGATCGATTGCTTCAATGGGTGACTAGTGAATAATGTAAATCTATCAAGTGTCTGTATTTGCTGTAAAGGAGAGCAAGTTAGACAATTTTCACTGAATCAAGGTGGGTGTCCTACTGTATATAGTGCAAAGTATTCGTATCCAATCTAAAAGCAGTTATAATATTTAAATGCTGCTATTTTCAATGGTCCCTTTCGTTTGTTTGTTATATTTACGATTTTTAAGTATTCTTAGTTTTTATTAGGTTAAATTTAAAGCAGTGTTAGATCTTTACTGCAATTGCTTTGCTAGAATATGACTGTGAGAAATAAGTCCTATTTATAATTTAATGCTGGGAGCTCTATGTATTGTATACACATATTTGCTTTAAACACAAGTCTCAACGATTTTAAATTAAGATGTGAAAAACGTGTCAGAGAAATTTCATATTTATGTAAACATATCCTACACAATTAAAAACATCAGCCGTACTGTACTTTTTATACATTTTCAGAAATCGTAGCTCCTTTAATTTTGAAACATGAGAAAAGCTAATATATTTGGTTCCGTTTCATAATGTAAACCCAAGTTAAGTAAGTTTTACGGATCACTAGGGTAAGCGTAATTCCAGGAGGAGATTGCATGGTTGTTGGAGAATTCTTATCATATTTATACACAAACAACATTTAACTGAACAATTTAAACTTTGACGCTTTTAGAATTGTATTTCCGTTTCATGATTCTAATTGCTCTAAACCTTGAATTTGAAATTAATTCACATAATATAATTTTATTTCAACTGTACACCTTCCTCTTAAAGGGATTGCAAGCGTAATATCAAGTTACATGAAAAGATGGCAATGCCGGATTTACCACGGTACCCTTAAACCTTTTCTAAATTCCTATTGTCGGACTTATTCTCATTAATCTATAAAAACCTTAATCAATGTTGTCGGACTTATTCTCACTAATCTATAAAAACCTTAATTAATGTTGTCGGACTTATTCTCACTAATCTATAAAAA